CCTTTCGATTGAGTGTCCTAAATTCGCAACCTCAGTAAGCAGAGTGACTAATCAGATTGTTTCGCTTTTGCTTTTCTTCACTTTGTGATTGGTGCAGAGAATTGGCGCCACCACTCAACCAGTAATACAAAACTAAAACCAATCGCGGCTCGCTCTCAGAGAGTTTCCTTTGTTTTGATTGGCTCTTGAGATTACTTCTGTGTTAGCTTTTTTAAACTCTACAGAAAAGCGCTCTTACATTACAACTGAAAGTTAAAACTAGTAGACTGGGAGCGAGAAAACGCAAGATACCGAGGTGTGATGGGTTTCAGTTGTATATCTTATTGGTTGAGAGGATGGTCAGGTTTGTGACACCAAAAAGTAAAGCAAAGTCCATACAATGTCGGATACTTTCGACCCTCAATTGACATTAGCTCCAGTAAGGTCAAAGAGGAACCGGCTAAGAATAGCGAAAATTTATTTAGGAATTGATTGAGGAATGGATTGAGTCTGCGGCTTTTGGTTGAAACGTTTCTAAGCAGCCTGAAAGCATTTAGTAGGCATAACAGCATTTGCGGTGCCGTTACTCTTTTTCTGGTCGGACATTTATAGTCGAACCTATTTAGATACCAACTAATAGTATCATTCTGTTAATCTCAGGCAACATTTTTAAATATACCCTGCAAAGAACGAGTATAGATCGTTCTTGTTTGTTGGTCAGTGTAATATTTCATACTGATCACTGTCTTTTTTTAATTTTCCAGGGAATGAGAGTTATTTTTCAAGTTGCTTTAGGCCTTCTCAAGGTATGAAGTCTCTGTGCGTGCTTCTTTTTACCAAGTCTATTTAACGAGATAAGTTATGTTATCTTAGCAGGGTATTAAGCTGGTGAGGCGATTTCACGGTCGAGTCTTAGCTAACTTTTACCTTGAGTGACATGTTTATTCTCGTCTTGAAGAGCTTTGGGAATATTGAGCTGTTTTGAATTTTTAAACTGTTTTAATATGAGCTACTTCAAACTATCAAAAAATAAGGTGGCTCTGAACCGTATGCACAAACTTTTAAAAAACTTTGCAGAAAGATAAATTATGATGTGGTAAATTGGATAATATTGATAAACGGGGGCCTATCTCTTTGTTTTTTAGTTACAGAAATATTAAGTTGAAATTTAAGGTTTAAGTTCTCATTGCCTCTGTTGTTGCTATGATATCCTGATATGTTTGGAAAAATTATTACAACTTGTCGAGACATGGTTGGTCATTTTTGGATACCATTTCCACTGAAGCTAACTAAAAAGTGTGAAAGCTACGTTCCATCGTAGAACTGGTGTTTTAAAACATCGAAACCATTTGACTACCTCAAGATGCTATATATCATCTATGAATTATGCTTCTTTTGTCTTATTCTTGTCTTAAACAGGCTTCTCGTAGGGAGCTCATCCAAATGGATTTTGAGGCCATACTAAAGTACTTCAGAGTGTCTATGCCTAAAAAATACCTTGACGAAGATGAGTACAAGAAGCTCATAACCTCTGCTCTGAGCTTTCGGGTATGGATTTTTGCGCCTTAAATTCAATTTGTTTTATTTTTTATATAAGTTGATACTTCGGTGTGCATTTGGGACCAATTTTTGACACTTGTTTGAAAATTTCTGCCATTGTTCAGAGATGATAGTCCTTAATGTTTCTTTTAAAGGTTTTCTCTCTGAAAATATAATCCGGTTTAAATTTCAGGTGACAGAGAAAAAGATGAAGAAATACGAAAAGGAGTACTTGCTGCAAAAAGAACAAGAGGCACAGCTTGAAGACCCGGTCGAGAGGCTAACGGTGAGTCACAGAAATAATTCTTCTAGTTTGATTGTTGTGTTTTCTTTCGGATTTATTGTTGGCTTGTTGCCTAACTGGTCGCTTCTCTTTCTTTCGATGCTTTTCTACAGCGTGAAAACAAGAGGTTTTTTGAAGATAACATGAGACTTGAACGAGAAAACGATAGCCTTGCCCACGAGTTGGTCAGTAATAAAGTAGAACTTCACGGCAAGCTGGCAGAGGTATTTGTCCTTTATCTCGACCGGTTATTTTTTGCTTTTATAATCTGATGTTTTTCGCTACTGAAATCTTGTTCAGCAACACGGCTTCTTTGGTTTGACCTAACAGAGTCTCACACGTCCTTTTGCAATCTATTGGCGATCTATTTGAAAATATTAGATACTTTACATCACAGAATGCCGGTTAACTGCGAATTGTGGTCTCCGCCATTTCGGTTTACCTTTGCAAAGCCCTGTGTGCGTAAGCAGGTTACGGGGTTGCTTTTAAAACGGCTTTTTAGTAGCAGATGTAAAAAAGATACGATTTCCTGAGACTCTTAGTCCTGTCAAATCACGTTTTTCTTTTGCTCTTTTGTTTACTAGGCAGAAGAAAAAGTGGAAGAGTTGTCCAAGGCGTTGAGCAACACAACCATATCACTGGCTGAATCAGAGGATCAACGGGAAAAACTGAAAGTCGAGGGCTCTCAGGTATACGAAATGAAAATATGTTTATGAACAAACGCTTCAGACACGACAAACTAATACGCTCTTGTATTTCTTCAGGTCAAAGAAATGTATCGGCAGACTATTGAACAGGCTGAAGAGGACAAGAAGCGACATACTACTGTTGTTGAACAATACAAAAAGGTCAGTAGGCATATAGAGAGGGACATCGTTTCTTTGGGTACATTGCTGCTAAATTAGTGGTCAATAACTGTCTTGTACTTGTTCTTCATTGTAGATTTGCAAAGAAAAGGAGGAAAGAAGCGAGGAGCTGAAGGAAGATCTGCGGCTGGAACTCTTGGAGGTCAAGGTATTTGTTCTTCTCCAATAGACCTCTTTCATGTTTGTAAAAATGGGGTGCAAGTGGATGACAGAAGAGAAGAGAGATAAAAATCACTTCTTACCATTTTGTCGTCCAGTTTGGGTTAATATGCAGAGACTTGAAATTGATCTCTCGAGAGTACTCGCAACTCCTGAAAAAAATACCGCTTTGCACTATTATTTTCGTGTTCCTCCTCTGAGTTTCATTAACTTCTGATTTGGTTTTAGCTTCTTTTAGTCACCTTCAGGCGTTAACTGTTCAGAATTGCTTAAAAACCTCTCGCGAATTATTTTCTTTTCCAGAGACGAATAGGATCATGTGAAAACTGCGCCGCTGTCTTCTCTGAGGAAGGTCATGTTACATTGGAGGGTGGAGGCGGAATCGCCGCATTCAAGACAAGTGTGAAGCTGGTAGACTCCGAGCAGCGCCTGAGGGAACTGGAACTGGAGCTTGCGCAGACCAAGCTTTCTCTAGTGGAGGCGGAATGTCGTTCTCAGGAGTTAGAACATAGGCTGGCGGCCATTGAGGCGGCGACTGGTGAAAGCAAACCTTGGTTCAAACGAATAAGTTTGGTAAAGGATGCCGGGAAGTGATTGATGGTCGTGTGATGATGAATTAAGCTCGTTTTCTGTTAAGAAGATAACAGCTTTTTTTACTGTATAACTGAATTTTTGGGTACATCAAGAGCTTTTGTTAATTTCGAATGATGTACTTCAACAGAGCATAAGAAGTAGTATTGAAGAGGTAGAACTTTTCGGTTTTTTTTTTGTTTTTTGTTACGAGAGTCTCTACCGTCTCCGTGAAAGAAATAGCTCTCCTGTTATTTCGTAACTTATCAGTTTAAATTCCGCCAGTGGAGGAATCTTAGACATTAGACACTAAGACATTTGGTTTCAAAATATTTTGCAACTCGTTCCCAAGACCCACTTCATCTCGCGGACCTCCAGGTTCCGGAAAGACCATGAAAACGAGGTTTGCATAGAAAGCTTTGTCGTTTGTTTTCTTCCTGGAAGGTTTATTCTTAAAATTAACTCAAGGACAGTAGTTGTAGTATTTTCTTCCCTTTTGGTTGCCCGACAGCCAAAAATTTAGTTGATTTGTGTTAATGTACCAGCTGAAAATGAAAACATTTGCCCTCAACAAAGTTCTCTATGGAGTTAAGTTTACAAGAAATGGTTATAAGATGTTACTAAAATAATACTTTCCTCCCTCGAAACCGGCTTTTGAAATGAAGAAGCGAACAGTATTTTTTGTTGTTGTACTGTTTATGGAAAAGAAATTACATTTTATTTTTTCTTTCTGTTAGATGAATACGATTATCTGAATGTTGTTGCGAAAATTATGTACATAAACGATATTAGCGACATCAGTTTAGTATTTTAAAGCTTTTTTCAGTTCTTTCTTCAGTTATTTCTGTAAGTTTTTTGCTTAGTAACTTAACTCGGAAAATAATGTATCACTTGACATCAATAACTTACTAAATAGTCGCGATATCATATAAGAAATGTTGATGAAATACAAGGGGTTAGATGATATTGATGGAATAAACAGACGCTTCTGTTTAGAGATATTTCGATTCCTCGTTTCACTTTGTCTGTGTCGTTTAATTACATGCGTAGAATGCTAAAAGATTTCGCATGTGGTAGGAGTTAACTTAGATGGGAGCTGCAACCTCATCGACAAAAGGGACAGGGTTTCGGCGGCATACTTCCTCCCAAATTTTGTTAAATCCCACCTTGCCCCCCCCCCCCCCACCCCATCACCCTCCGAACTGACATTGATTTTCATAACAGGAACTGGACAAAGTGGAAGGACGACCAAACTAATAGACTGAATCTTGAAGAAGTTTTTACGCCCAACATGAAATACGTAATTCCTTGAGAGCATAATTCAAACTTTTCGGAGCTCAAACCAATTCTATAAGAAAATCGCCAAAGACTTGTGCGTAAGATTGCTTCAGCCTTTTTATGCGGCCTCGTCAAAAGTCTTTTGGTGCAAAACCCGTCTGTGTACGAAGTTTTTACTAACTTACGCAAAAAGCTTACTTTTTTTGTTCACTTTTTAAACGGAAGCGGGCCGGCAAATTGACATCTGATTGGCTCTCGCATATGCAAATAGGTCTATAAATAACGATGAGGTCGCCTCGACTTTGTGCTGGCATAGAAACACGCTTACGCTTAATTGTCAAATATTCGAACACTCGATCGTTGTTTGAAACTCTCAGAGCAGCTGTTTGATTTATATTGGTCGCGAAAATTAGTATGTTACAAAACCGCTTAACAGAGCTCTTTGGTGCCGTTGCTTTGGCAAGGTTGGCGGTGGTGCGAATGTTTTGAGAGTGTGGGTTTTAACGGGGTAAGTGTGAAAAAGTATGCGATCGTGTTATTCTATCGGTGACCTTTTCAAACGGAATCAGAGCAGAGTTAATGAAAGTGTTTATGCCTTTAAAACCCTTAGAAAACTATTTGTTAGGGGGATTTTGGTAAATAAGTTGATAGCTCAGGAAGCTTTTCCAAAATTTGTTGGTAGGTGTCGTTTGTAAAGAAAAAATGCTTCCGCGTCGATCAAAGCACAAAACTTGATAAGGAAGATAATATTACAGTATGTTGTAGAATAACAAAACAGATCGTATTTTTCAAAATTTTGGATTCATTGGATAGTTTATAGTTGTAAAACCAGACCATTAGTGCCAAACATAATAGCGATATTCTTTGACAAACATCTTCTTTTTTAATCATCTATAAGATTCGAGGAACGATTCTAGTGATCTATAACCTATCCATCAGAAATGTCTGAGGATATGTTTCTCGTTAATTGTGTTCTGTTGTCAGTGTTTCGAAGGAACGCTTCAACGCAAGAAAGCGATACAGATAAGTAACTTGACGACTTTTATTTCATATGCTTACCGTACATGTATTCTGAAATATAGAGACTCAATGGAGACATGATTAAAAACAAGAGCAGAACACGTAACTTACCTTGGATCCTCTGGCTGACGGTTGTTAGCACTGGTATGTTCGGTTTAATTTACTCTATAGATTATTTTTGGTGATATGTTCGGAGTCATTCGGATGTTTCCAAGAGATCATAGGGAATTTATATTTCAGTGAAACAATGAAGTTATCGTCGAAAATTAACGAAACATAGCTGATTTAAAGCGAAGCCTTGACATGTTCAGGATTCAAATTCTTTATCTTCATGGAATCCTGCTGATGCAGTGCAAGGTGATCTATTAAGCAAGGCTGACAGTTTAATCCTTCACACTCTAACATAAGTATTCATATTCTCCACACTGTTCTCTTTACATTTCCTTTGTTACTGACTAGGAGAATTCATCTGACAATCAGATGCTTCTTGAATGATTGATCATTACCTCTCTTCTCATTACCTTTACATTTGATTCAAGGGCAATACTGTAATGAGAAAATAGAAGCCACAATTTAGAGGGTTAAGGATGCAACCCTCAATTTCCATATTCTAATCATTCTCAGGATGTAGGAAAACTTTGAAAAATTAAACATAGTGGTCAGTCTAATTATCTGCGGTTGGTTCTCAAACACCATTACACTGTACATTTTCAATATGACATCATATCTCCTTTGTAGAATTAAACTGTTTAAAATGTTGTGTTGAATTTCACTCTGCAGGTTGGCATATTGCCTTTGGTCAGCAATGTGCCTCCAATCCTTGTTACTTTAATGGAACTTGTACTGACATTGGCATTAATAACTACACTTGTAGCTGTCCACCTGGTTTTACAGGTAGAATTATATTTCATTACTGCTTAGGGCAACCTTTGAGAATTCAAATCACCAGCCATTAAGCCCCAGTTCCTCCAATGAAAGTTAAAGCTGAGAATTGGAATAAAAGGGTATTGACAGCCACGGCTTTAAAAGTTTTATCTTGTTTTGGTAACTTCCATATTGTATCATATGCTCACAGTTAGGTTGCCTTCCTTGTTAATACTGTCAATGTATACTATTATTTTTAGGGGAAAGATGCGAAGCTGTGATCAACATGTGTCATTTTAACCTGTGCCAGAACAATGCTGTGTGTCAGAGATTTCAGACTGGAGGTTATCAGTGTATTTGCCACGCTGGATTTACTGGTTAGTGAAGATTAAACCAAATACCATGTATGTACAAAAATGTCAAAAAATTTCATCACCATAAATATTAATAATCATTGTTGTAATTTTTTCCCAATAATATTCTGTTTGACTTACTTACTCTTAGGATTACATTGTGAGACCAACATGAATGAATGTAATCAGACAAATCTTGCATGCCATAATGGTGGAACTTGTGTTGATGGGGTGAATGGCTACACATGTCAGTGCCCAGCACGTTTCTCTGGACCTTTCTGTAATGTAACTGTTACAAAGTGTGATGGAAGTCCTTGTCAGAATGATGGAACTTGTACAGAAAATGTTTTTGGGTAAGTTATTTGAGTGGTACAGACAACAAATTGCAAGCAGCAGTAAAAAGTACACATGTACATTCCAACTCTCTCACCTGTAGATCAAGACAGATCTCTCACAACCTATCTCATGGCAATCGATTTTTCAAGCCCTGCTGAAAAGTTCATAAACAGTTACAAATGAGGTTTCGAGCATTAGCCCTTCATTTCCCTATGACAGAGGGCCAACCCTTGAAACATCAGCTTTGTTACTCTTTATGGTGGCCAAATTATGTTATCACCTCAGTTAATAATACTAAGTTACCCTATTATACCTGATACAGCACCACAGTTTCTTTAGAAACTTACCCACTTTATTTATTGATCATTTTAATATGAAGTATTCTTCTTAAACTATTATAATAAAGGTAAACTTGCCCCTATTAGGCAGGTAACTTCTGCCTGACTTTTGGGGCATTTCCCAAAGCTGTCTATTTAAGCTGACATCTATGTAACAAAGCGAATCTGCTCCTGTAAATACAACTGTTACAGTGCTGTTATGTTGAATTAACACTTTCTTTCATGCATTGAATATCTTTTAGTTACAACTGCACCTGTACCTCAGGCTTCAGGGGTCCTAATTGTGAAGAGAATATTGATGACTGTCTTCCAAACAGATGTCTACCTTTTCAACAGTGTGTGGATGGAGTGAACAGTTATCAGTGCATTTGTCCTGTCGGCAAAACTGGTCAAACTTGTAACGTTGATATTGATTATTGTTCTGGGCAAGCATGTTTAAATGGAGCAACTTGTAAGAGCTTTCAAGGTGAGATTTTAATTGTCAGTTAAGGAGAAATTATAGGTGTGGCCCTGATATCATTAACACTTGAATTAAAGGGAAGTTAACTCAAAATATTTAACATACACATGTAACTTGCACTTAAGCAAGTATTAAGGAAAAAACTAATAATATTCATAAACAAACAACTAGAGCAGTAATTTGCTTTTTAAGTAACAAGTAGGTAATAATTCTCTCCATCTCTTATGGTGCATAACAGTGGAGTTGTGATCATCAGTTACAATATTTACACATTCAATTCCACTCATCCATCCCCTACCTCTTCCCAGGTTTGAATCTGCTAAAAATACCTTCTGATGTTGTGCATGTTCATTAAGCTTGAAATAACTGACTCAAATCTGAGCGGTGTCTCTTACAACAATACTTTTATTGTTACAACTAGGAGTCTGTTTGAATGTTCAGTCCTTTTTTTTGCAAAAACTGCATGTGACTAAGAATCAGCAGGGTTAATTTAGATCATTGACCCTTATGAAAGTCTCATATGATTAATGGACACTGATCAAGCTCCTAAAATTCAAGGTGACTTCAACTGCACCTGTGCTCCAGGCTTTGAAGGGCGTCGCTGTGAAAATAACACAGATGATTGTGCGTCTCAACCTTGTTTTAATGGTGGCACGTGTACAGATAAAATGAATGGTTTTACTTGCAACTGCCCAGCTGGTTTCATTGGGAGACAGTGTGAAGCAAACATCATTGAGTGTCTGTCCAATCCATGCAAAAATGGTGGCACTTGTGTGGAGAGTGTTGGACTGGCAGGTTATTACTGTACCTGTCCAGCAGGATTTCAAGGTATGTTGAAGTCCAAATCAGATATTTTCACCTGGTAAACAGGTACAGACTATTTTGTCTTGAGAAACCTGTTCATGTTGTGAATTATTAAGTTCGTTTTTGCCCTGGCACATGAATTTGTTTCACTTTGTTATTGTTTTTCTATTTGTTTGTTGGTTTGTAAGTTAGTTGCTGGCCCATTCTATTTCCTTCAGGTGATGTACATAGCTTTTAACAGTATCAAATTTAGTTCCAAGCCATCATCAAATTTAAAACGAATTTATTTCTGTGTTCTTTAGGACACCATTGTGAATTTAGTAGTTCTTCTTGTCAACCTAATCCATGTCAGAACAATGGCACGTGTACACTTCATGGTAACAAGTTGAATTGCACGTGTCCAGCCGGTTGGACCGGTCCTTACTGCAGCCTTGATGTGGACGAGTGCCTTACATCACCCTGTGGAAATCTGGGCACGTGCCATAACGCACCTGGCGGGTATAACTGCACTTGCTTAGCGGGCTTCACAGGCGCAAATTGTGACAAACACGTGGACGAGTGTCTTGATGATCCATGCCAGAATCAAGGCACGTGCGAGGATTATGTGAATGGCTACCGATGCACGTGCACCGCAAGCTTTTCTGGGAAAAACTGCGAGATTCCCTTGAACAACTGTTCTGCGCAGCCGTGTAAGAATGGAGGAACTTGCAGACTTGGTGGAAGTGGCTTTTATTGTGATTGTCAGCCGGGTTATACCGGTTTTACCTGTGAAGTGGATATCAACGAATGCGCTTCTAATCCGTGTAATAATGGCGGAACGTGTGTAAATAATGTCAATCGCTATGAATGTCAGTGTGCTGATGGTTATCGAGGGAGATCATGTGAAGTTCTGTTTTCAGTGAGCTTCCAACAAGGCTCGTATCTTCCTGCTTTAGGATTTACATTGTTCCCATCGGATCTGATGTCATTTCGATTCCGAACTACACTGCCATCTGGACTTTTGTTCTATCAGGGAGCGGTAAGTAGAGTTGAAAACAAACTGTTTATCGCGCTCTTGGTTTGAGAGCAAATCACAGTAATCACAAAGGCAAAAAGGAAAATTTCATAATGGACAGCTGAGAACTCGAGGAAACAAGAAAATTGTCGAAAGCGCGGGAAAAGGCGAGTGGTGGTGTCGCTATTAGTTAAGCAATTGGACTGCCTATGACCCGTGCGTGCTAGTTTATTTTTTTAACCAATCATAGGGCGTATCAAAATTAAATTATGGCACTTCATTTTGAGTTACTTTTGACACTGATATCGAAAACCAACTCAACTATTTTTTTTAATCCAGGTGGCATTAAGAATTGTATGCTCTTCGTTGGAAAGATTTATGATGAAAAAAAAAATATTTCTTCCAGGACCTCATAAAAGAGCACACAGATCACGTGATTGTAGAGCTAACAAATGGCTCTCTCCGCCTGTCACTCAATACCGGCCTGGACACAGCAACGGCTAAGGTAGGCAGGGGACTCAACGATGGGGCCTGGCACCAAATAACTCTGCAGATAACTGGTCCCCAGGCCACTATATCTATCGACAAGGACACGTGCAGCGCAGACTGTTCATCAGCGTCTGTTTCAACCACCTCCGATGGTAGCTCGCAGTACGCTGGTCTTCCTTATTTCGGAGGAGTGAGACAGCTGGTCCCGCAGATAAGACAACAACTCACGACTGATGGCTCATTTGTGGGATGCATCAAGGTATTTTTAGGCACTAATTCCGAGATTGAGTAGCAGGGGGAAGAAAAAAGTTAAGATTTCTTAGGCAGAAACCTTTGTTCTCTCATTGTCTTTTAGTTGGCGTTCATTGTTCTCTTCGTATTCGCTGCATAATCAATGTTGTCGGAGATGTGATTGCTTTGTGGCGCAATCGGCTTTGTATCGAGAAGGCCGCCCTCGAACCCAGGCTTTGTTATTTTGCCATTTAGATCTCGTAGGATTTCTCTCTCTCCTCAGGAGTTATACAAACCTTAATGCCGGGGGTGGTTGGGGTGAAGGTAGCTTGCGTAAGACTTGAATCCCGCCCAGGAAGAATAACAATACTCCTTGTCGCTTCAAGCCATGGAAACCAAATAAAACCTCTAACCTGAAATGCTAGAAAGAGGACTCAACCACCGACCAAGATTCCATGCACTCTTCCAGCCCCTTCCCTTGTCAGGCTGAGAAGCAAAAATCTAATCTTCCTGTTTGGATCTTTTTAGGACGTTCTGTATAATAGAATCGAAGTGGGTCTACAGAACGTATTGGCGCAAGCGCACCTAGTCTCCACCGGTTGTCAGCGAAGGGACGTCTGTAGCAATCATGGATGCAAACATGGTGGCGCATGTGTAGATGAGTGGGTGCAGTACCGCTGTGATTGTCTCCAAGGATTCGTGGGATTGTTTTGCGAGCATCAAGTCACAGCTACTTTTGATAGTGATGACAACTCTGGTTTAAAATTTGATTCAGCTGCTCCGATTAATTCGTTTTCTTTGGAGTTTTCAATTGATCCAACTCTTCCAAGTGGAGTGCTCGCTTACACTGGGGTAAGTTGACTTTACCGAGGGAATTGTGGATAGAGCAGGGTAAATTAACTAATACACGTTCAGGAATGAGCAAAAACTTTGCGGACTTCTCCTTACAATATCAATACATTTTCAAGTAGAATGACAAGAGAAAAAAGAAAAAAGGATCAATATTGGCTTTACGCCAAGTCCTGGGAGCTGAAGTTATGAGAAATGTTTGGCAGACAGTGCAGAGAATAGGAATTTAGAGCTTGAAAGTGGGAGGGTTAAGCTTTGAAACTAACGAGGAATTAATTGCTTTGTTTCCGGCGTTGTTTGCGAGTTTTGAAACAAAACTTGCGCAGTCTTCTCCACCAATCAAATTGAAAACCAAAACCTATCACAACTTAATCGCTTTCTCTACTTGTGCTTTGCGCGCATTAGTTACAGTTTTCGTGAGTTCCCTTTTTGTGTGTGTGTGTCGTCAGCATATATTGTGATTGGTGTAGTTTTGAAGCAATTTGTTTAAATCGAGGAGTATCATTTGAACGTGTGGTCCTGAGAAGTCTTTTGTCGGTAGTACTGACTAACGTTTCTAAAAACCGAGCGGAAGTCATCATCAGAGTCGACTCCGCCCTCGACATGCCTTTCTCGATGATTACAGCTCAGTTCACACAAATGACATATGACATAGAGGTATTAACCCAACTAGTTTTACAGAAAATCTCTCGAGATCAGTGTAGTCAAAGTTAAATTTGATTTCGTTTTCAGTCAGGCCAAGGAGATTTTGGTGTAGCCTTGAACAATGGACGTTTGCGGGTGGCGTACGTGAGGTCGTTCTTCGAAAGAAACTACCTCGATATCGGTCGAAATCTCTCTGACGGCAAATGGCATAGATTGCATATCAACGTCACTTCCGGTAGTGTTACGATTGACGTGGACACATATCACGCTGTTCTTACTCCGCCCCGAATTTCTCAGCCAATCGCGGATCTCGAGAACACTCTATATATGGGAGGTCTTTTGAGCAGGTTTAGCGATTTGCTCATTTATCTAAATAATAAGCAGTCAACGTTTAGTGGTTGTTCAAGAAACGTGATTATGAATGGAAATTTGACGACGTTTGAGACTGCGCAGACGAATGGTGGGTATTCTATGCCGAAGTCGAGCTGTAAGAAGGACGAAAATTGTGCACCAGACTCCTGTAAAAACGGAGGTGCGTGCGATGCCACCTGGACTGGGTTCGAGTGTCACTGTTTAGACGATTTTGTCGGGAGTCGGTGTCAAAATGGTGAGAACGCTTTTCTATTTACATAATTATTACTTCGTTTTGCCATGCGCCAGTAAGATATTTTTGTACTGACGATGTTACGGCAAGGGTGGGGTTACGGATACGAATTTCCGCGCACCTCTGATGAAGTAGCTTTTCTCAACAGACGAGAAGGACCCACAAATGGAGTATCTTGTACCGGAAGAGATTTCTTCAGATTCGCGCATCCTCACCACAACCGTTATGGGGTCGGCATTTTGATGACTTGAAAAATTCATATCTTAGAGGGGAGTGGTGGTCACGGGGACCCCAACCCCCATTATTACGCCCTTAAGTGTGTGCAGGAAAACGAGAAATTAATTTTTCAGATCTTCGTGACTAAGTACTCTTGTAGCACTGTGGTCATCTTTATTTCAGCCATAACAGTATGGGCAAAATATGGGCAAAATAGTGAAGTCTAACTTTCTGAGTGGGTAGCTGTGGTGGAAAATCAGGTCGCCCAATTACAAGTGGCTCACATGAAACCCTGATTTTCCTCTGACTCTTGTTTTTATACAAATTTATATCTTTTCTCTACTCATTATTCTACGTAACAGGTTGCATAACAAATAATATCACATGAAGATCGAGAGAAAATGGGGGGACAATCTTATGTTAACTGGGTGAACCGAGCGCTCTCCGTCTTAATCTGCTGTAATTTTACTCATAGATATCAGGTTTTTTTGTGAATTTTTTTCTTGCTTATTGCAGTTTCCGAGACTTCGTTCTTATCGAATGACAGCCGAGTGGAGCTAACATTAAACTCTTCTGAGTGGAGTTTTGGTCAGAGTGGGTCAGTGTGGTTCAGGACTCGTGAAATGGACGGGTTACTAATGTACGCCGGGCGGAGGCCTGGAGGAGGAAATACAGAATTCATGCTTCTTGAGGTCTTTTCCGGTCAGGCTAGATTTACTGCTGATCTTGGTTCAGGTATGGTAAAGGTGCCATTTATCCTGTGTTATTTCTATGTAAATTTGTTTATTTCCTTTTTCTTGGTTTCTTTTATTTCAAGTTGATTGATAATAAAAATTTTGGTTGAGAAGATAGATCGTGACTCAATCGAACGTGACTCAATGTTCATGGAATTAGTGTTAGTCTTTTTGTCCGATTTTTAAAATAAAAGCGTCAGTCTTTTATCGACCTTCAACTGGATTTCAGGATCAAGTTCGCTTTTGATCAACAAAGTCGTGTCTGACGGTGACTGGCATCACGTGACTTGGACCAGAAGATATAAGCGCATAACACTGGACTTGGATGACAGGATGAGAGCACAGGGAGACCTGCCTGGAGCAGACGGACAGTTTGATACCGCTCACGACCCTGTGGTGTCTGTGGATATGGGTGGAGTCCCGGCTGGTGTAACACAACCTAAAGGTATTTAGAGATAATCAAAAGCCTGTTTAGTTTTTTTTGTTTTGTTTTGTTTTTAACTTAATTTGGCTCCATTTTTTCGTGACCTGTTCCATTTTTGCTCCTAATGCCGATATTTATCTTATTCCCAGGGTCGATTATGAAGAGTAATCCAATTTGAATGTTTCATTGCAGGTCTAATAGCGCTCAAAAATTTCAAGGGATGCATAAAGGACATCATGTTCAACTCCCGACGTGTCCATTATCTTTCGCCTCACTCTCAGAGAGGCCTGGGCGTTAATAAGAAACAAGTAACAACGGGTTGCCAGAGAAATTCTACCTGCTTGCCCAATCCCTGCCCAGCTCACAGTGTTTGTGTTCCATCTTGGGATGGCTTCAACTGCACTTGTGATCCAGGTTGGATGGGTGATAAATGTGATATTCGCATACCGGACTGCTCGCTAAATAACTGCACTAATGGTGCCACGTGCGTTAATGTCACGCGCGGTTTTGACTGCGTGTGCGCGCAGGGATATACTGGCCTTTACTGTGAGACCCAGATAACTCACTGCCATTCCGAACCTTGCAGTAATAATGCGACCTGCTATGAAATATCAGGAGGTTACCGATGTGATTGCACCGTAGGATACACGGGAAAGGACTGTGAGAGTGATATCGATGAATGTGCGAGTACACCTTGTAAGAACAATGGATCGTGTATAGATCTACAAGGCAATTATTCCTGTCAGTGTTCTACGGGTTTTGCTGGAAGAGACTGCGAGTTGAATATAGATGATTGCTCGCCTAATCCCTGTGCGAACCAGGGAACATGTACTGATTTAATAGCCAACTATAGTTGTCGATGCTCCGTGGGTTACACTGGTGGAAATTGTGACATAGATATTGATGAGTGTTCTCCAAATCCATGCAGGCATGGCGCGACCTGCCTCGACTCAGTGGGTAACTACAGTTGTAGCTGTGTATCAGGTTTTACCGGCATAAATTGTGAAGTAGACGTCGATGAATGTGTTTCAAATCCGTGCTTGAACAATGCTTCTTGTGTAGACTTAGTCGACGACTACAGTTGTCAGTGTTTAATTGGTTTTACAGGAAAGAACTGCGGTGTTGACATCGACGAATGTTCTCCAAACCTTTGCCAACACAATGCGACGTGCACCAACCATGTTGGAAATTACAGTTGTAGTTGTCCCTTAGGTTATACTGGAAGGAATTGTGAAACCGACATAGACCATTGCTTCCCCAATCCCTGCCGGAATCAGGGTACCTGCATTGATGGCGTCGGAAACTACAGTTGTGTTTGTTCCCCGGGTTTCTCTGGCGGGAATTGTACATTCGACATCGACGAATGCGCCCCTCACCCTTGTCAAAATAATGCAACATGCATCGATCAAATTGCTGCCTACACCTGCAACTGTCCCATGGGTTTTTCTGGTAGAAACTGTGAAACAAACGTTGATGACTGCTCTCCGAACCCGTGCTTAAATCAGGGAACCTGCGTGGATCTGATTGGTAGTTACAGCTGTAACTGTTTCAAAGGATTTACAGGAAGTAATTGTAGCGTAGATGTCGACGAGTGTTCGTCAAATCCGTGCCTTAACAACGCTACTTGCAACGATTTAGTGGGCAGGTACAGTTGTCAGTGTCCCGTCGGATTTACGGGAAGCAATTGTGCCTCTGACATCAATGAATGTGCCCCAGATCCTTGTTTCAATCAAGGAACGTGTTATGATCTAATAGGAAACTTCAGCTGTGTATGCTTGCGTGGATTTACTGGACGAAATTGCGAAATAAATATAGATGACTGTATACAAGGCCCTTGCCAGAACAATGCAACCTGTACCGATCTTATAGCCGATTACAGTTGTCGGTGTCCTGTAGGTTTTACTGGGAGAAATTGCGAGACAAACATTGACGAGTGTGCTTCTGATCCTTGCGCGAATAATGCTTCATGTTTTGATCTGCAAGGGAATTACAGTTGTGACTGTTTGGAAGGTTTCACGGGTAGAAATTGTGAGATGGACATCAATGAATGTTCTTCAAATCCTTGCGGACGCCACGGCACATGTTTAGATCTTATTGGTAATTACACATGTAGTTGTATTTCGGGTTTCAGTGGGAGAAACTGTGAGGTCGATATAAATGAATGCTCTTCAAATCCTTGTGCACATAATGGTACATGTTTAGATCTGATTGGGAATTACAGCTGTAATTGTATTTCTGGTTACACTGGCAGGGACTGCGAAGTCGACATAGACGAATGCTCTTCCAATCCATGTGGAGATCACGGTAAATGTTCCGATCTTGTAGGCAATTACACCTGTAACTGTGTGGCGGGTTACAGCGGTAGAAATTGCAACGTGGACATCGATGAATGCTCTCCTAACCAGTGCTTGAACAATGCTACATGTTTAGACTTGTTAGGAAACTATAGTTGCAGATGTTCCTTGGGTTTCATGGGCAGAAACTGTGAAGTGGAGATTGACGAATGTGCGTCGAGCCCGTGTAAAAACCAAGGAACTTGTATTGATCTTGTAGGAAAGTATAAGTGTACCTGCTTCGATGGTTTTACTGGTGCAAACTGTCAAAATAACATCAACGATTGCTCTCCCGATCCTTGTCAAAATGGTGCAACATGTTCCGATCACATTGGTAACTACAGTTGCAAATGTCTAGCGGGATTCACTGGTAGAAACTGTGAGATAAATATTGATGAATGTGCTTCTGATCCTTGCAAGAACAATGCAACGTGTTCCGACCTTGTAGCTGGTTACAGCTGTCAGTGTGTTGTGGGTTTCACAGGGAGGGATTGTGAAGTCAACATCAATGACTGCTCCCTAAACCCATGTAAACACGGCGGGACCTGTTCAGACCTGATCGCGAGCTATAGTTGTGCGTGTCTGTCGGGATACACTGGAAGAAACTGCGAGACTAATATGAATGAATGTGCATCAAATCCGTGCAAACACGGTGCCACGTGCGTAGATGCTATAGCGAATTATACGTGTGTCTGTGCGCGTGGTTTCACGGGAAGAAACTGCGAGGTAGATATAAATGAATGCACATCGCAGCCTTGCCAAAATGGGGCTACCTGCATGGATCTTGTTGGGGATTTCTCTTGCAACTGTTTGCCGGGTTACACTGGTAAAAGCTGCCGAGGTAATATAGATGAGTGCAGCTCTAATCCATGTGTGAACGATGCAACTTGCGTCGATTTAATTAACGAATATAACTGTAGTTGTGTTCCTGGATTCACTGGAAGGCGATGTGAAATCAATGTTGATGATTGTTCTCCTCCTCCTTGTCAGAATGGCGGAATTTGTTCTGATGGCGTCAACAGCTTTCACTGTGACTGCACAGGCACTGGGTTCAATGGTTCCCAATGTCAGGAAGACATAGATGAATGCACCTCGTCCCCGTGTGTTCACGGCGCATGTAACAATACCGTGGGCTCGTATTGGTGTAATTGCTTGGGGTCTGGATACCAGGGAACGTATTGTGAGGATGATGTGAACGAATGTGTGACATTAACACCATGTTTAAACAGCGGAAAATGTCGGAACAACGACGGTTCTTACCAATGCACGTGCAAGGCGGGTTACAGTGGCAAAACCTGCAACGTGAACATCGATGAATGCGCTAGTGACCCGTGCATCCATAATGGACAATGCGTCGATCTTGTAAATGGCTTCTACTGCAGTTGTACTGGAACAGGTTTTCGAGGATTTCGTTGTGACATTAACGTGGACGAATGCGCAACCGCTGAACACGAGTGTCAAAATGACGCACAATGTGTGGATACTTATGGTAATTACACCTGCGCGTGTGCGTCCGGTTTTACGGGTGTTTTATGCGAGAACGAACTAGGGATCACAATAGAACCTACGCCAGCTGCTCGCCAGCAAAACAGGCAAATGGAGCTGGGTTTGTCTATAGGATTCGTGCTTCTTCTGGTGTTAATAGCCGCTGTTTTGTTGTTCTTTTATCGTAAGAAGCAGATGAGTAAAATGAGCGGCAGGTATTACCCATCTGATGAGGAGTACAAGGGCGGGGCATATCCCATGGGACAACTTGAGAAAGATGAACGACTTATCTAGCTACGTGGAAATGTACCTAGTTTTTGAAATGATATGAAACTGTAAATAACAAAAGAATTATTTGTGTAATTTTTATTGAAGATAGGTGTGGTGTAATGTACATCAACTGTATAGTTATTCCCAAAATTTATGCATTGATTAATGACAGCCTTGATTACTGTAAATAGTATTGTTTATAGTATTATGATATATCAAAGCTCAACGACTCTCTTACGTGAAATTTCGAAATCTTTAAAGCCAGACTGTGTTCTTACGAAGTCACAAAATGAAATTAATTTTGAAATTATCGTCCAAATATTTTTCAATTGCAAACGCTCTTCACAATTGTATTTGTGTTCGCAGTTTCATATTTTCTTTCCCATGAGAGGAAATTAAAGTTATTTTATCTAATGTACTGATTACTTCTTATTTTTTATGTGAATTATTTTTATAGTAATTTTTAATGTCTTACAGTTTTGTACCATATTTGAAATATTAAAAGACACCAGTTGATGTTATTTTAATCTTCTCTGTCTAATTTTTAAGTCATAGCCTCTACTTAGCATACAGCTTTTATTGTCGTGCCGTGTCGGTTCTGTGGATGGAGCTTCAAAGAAATGATTCTTCTTGGTTTATTTTCATGGTTTTCTTTCATGCAGGTTCTCCACCCTAAGCCTCCATTCTTTGTCACGCACTTAAGCTTAGAGATGACTCGTCCTGATCAACTAAATAACGCGGGGCCCAACACGGCTTGGGAGCGCGAGGTGTAATGGTTAGGAAAATTACGAGAGATGGTAATTCCCCTTCCCATCATTCTCCTCTTATCCCTTGGCGCGCCTTTAATGAAGACGTCTGGGAATGAGTCAGAGCCTGGAGTGCAGGCATTTAGTTGTAAAGTCAATCATGCTAATACTCAACAATCAAATTGATATGAACCCAATCAATTCATGTCATATCTGATCTTCCTTTCAGAAGGCTAGTTACTCAATCAGCTATTTACTTTAGTGCTTACTGTGGTTCCACTTTGCTGACCGGTGGAGTTGGTGACGCATAGAAGAAAACAAACAAAGGAATGATAAAAGTCAGTGAGTACAGGACAAAAAACAAACGATCGAGGACAATGGCTGCGAACTGCCATTCCAAAACGATCTCTTCTGTCTCGTTGTCTTCTTTAACACGGCGAGTCAGGACTCCAAGTCCCTCCATAACTCTGTTTTGTAGGGTATTTAAGGCATTACCGCGTTTGGGAAGTACGGACATCTTTCGCCTTCTCAACCGCTTTTCTGAAGCTGCTGACGCCCCACCGCTCAGATTGATGGCTGGCTCACTCTTGGATTTTTTATGTGATGCACTCGACGGCGTCTTTCGGTGTTCATTTTGCACCCCATTGGCTCGCGGGAGGTGATTCTTTGGCCTTATCTCGATAAGAGCTATTCGTTCCTCAGCCGTGTTGCTTTCGTTTTGGACAATAAAACTCTGCGCAGCCATAAAGTTGTGAGACTCATTGCAGTCGTAACACGCCTCTTCGGTTCGTTTTCCACACCACTGACTGACACCTTTATTCTTAGGTTTCTTTGTGATGACGAAAAAGAGAAGCGACGCAATCCATTCATTTATTATCACGCGCAAACGCTCGGGCATGCGCGTTGGAGTTGCATAGTAATACCTAAGGACGACACAAGTTGAGAGAATTGCAAAGCAAACCATTATCATAAGAATCAGGTAATAGTCCCCCAGTAGTGGGATGCTGTCCGAGGTGGAGGGAAGCGTGTTGGACGCAATGTTCAAAAAAACTGTCATTGTAAGCAGGACAGTGATGTTTAGAGTGATCCTCTCCCCGGTGTCAGGTGGAAGACAGAAGCCGACTAGAATAAAGAAGACGATGATTGTTGTGGGGATGATCAGGTTGAATATGTAGTAAAGTACCTTCCTCTTCATGTGGATGGTGTAGGTGATGTCAGCGTACGGATGAGGGCAGCATGCATAATAGAGCTGATTCTTCTCTACTGGAACATCTATTACTTCCCATTCGCCATTTTTTATCCAAGCCGACATATCAGCAGTTGTCTGGTCCGTTGTCATGTCAAGATACTTCACATTGTAGGTCCAAGATCTATATAAGAAAATACAAGTGTAAGGGAGGATTTTGATAAACTGCGATTTAGCTGTCAAAGACCAGATAGAGAAATATTTAGAAAACTCGCACTCATACTTACCCAAATTTTAAATAACAGAACTGCTCGTCGAATGGAAAGAAGCGGATATTCTGTTTACAGGACGAAATGAACTGTGTCGCGGAAAACCATGTGACTGTACCATTGCTGCCAATTAGTACTTTTGTCTTGTACTTTTCTAGTCCACCAGTGAAACCTTTGGCAGCGCTGAAAATGTGCCAAGAGAAAAAATCCTCACCGTGCGTTACGCTAATTCATGGAAAAGAACTTTAACAGCCTTCCAGTCCTTGCAGCTCAACGGTACCTAAGTCAACCTTCTGAGTGGTCGGATCTGCCTGGAATTTAATTTGCAGAAAAAAATCTTCTGGAGGATTTTGGGGTGGAGATCACATGGCTTTCAGGGGAAACTGAGGAGGATGAGTTGTCACCAACAGAGTATTAAGAAGGGCTACAGAAAATTGGCTGAGGGGGTCATAAGAATATGACAGGGCCCTGGGGGGGGGAGGGGAAATCAGGTAAATTTTAATCGAGACACAGCCAAATCTTCCAACCCCTCCCCCCCCCCCAGGCAATAACTATTGACCGGTTCCAAGGGAAGTACAGCCTTACTTGTTGTAAAGTATTATGACGGGCAACCACACTAAATTTGGTTCAACGTTGATTGTGCTAATTCCATCGTAATCATCAGGGTTCCATTTAAGAAAGGGATCCTTCCATTTCTAAGAAACATGAAAGAGACAAATATTAGCTGAAAAGCAGTCAGTCAAGAAGCGCCCTAACAACAAATTGAGCCACACTCTTCTTACTTGTGTAGTCCAGACGTTCACCTTCAAAGTCTCCGCCTTCTCATCCTATCAGGGACAAAAGGCAAAATTAAATGCATGTACAAATAGGTTACCAGTCGTTTCGTACGCAGTCAGGTCGATTCATACCCAGTCAGTTGAATAGTTTCGTACCTATACTAAAAGAGCATGTTTTCTATGTTAAGTATTTTTAAAGTAAGGTCGGTTTCTTATTTGAAATAGCAATGTTGCATGCGTTATGATAAGTTTTGTTTACGTGGTGTTCGTTTTTTAATACGCGAGCCTGGAACCGAAAATGCGGTAGCAGGGAATCAAATAACAGACGCAAACAAAAATGCAAATTTTAATGCGTTTTTCACTCAGACCGAAACTTTAAGTGTCCTACTTGTAGTCATTCAAAGGAGAGGTTCCTCTACTACATGGGCATGGCAATGAGTTCCCTTATTAACCAAGGAGAAGCGATTATTTTCAATAATACAACAACCTTGTGTACCTTTAAATGCCCGTCGAAAGCAGCTGTTGTAACCTCTACTGGAATATACACTTTACACATATATAATTCCATGACGTCACTTACCACGTCCACGATCTGGACAAGTTTCACTTCGAAAAGGACAGTGACGACATCGCTATCACGAAGCGCTGGTCGGACCTCTCTATTGTAACTGTCGGTGTAAATTATATCCTGGAGAAGCCGGTGCTCTGCGATCTTCGCGATTTTTTTATCTGGACCACGCTGTCCCGGTGCAGCTGAAACACGACATACAATTGTAAGTATGAAATGAAAAAAGAGAGAGAAAAAAAGAACGTGGCAAAGTTAAGAGCTTCTTTTGTCTTGGATTTCCTACCTCAACTTCTATTCGAAGTTTACAAAACGCTTTCTATGTGACACAGTTTTACTTTTTACGGCGCGGCATAGACCGTTGACATGCGCATGTGCATGACAAAACATATTTTGAAGGTTTTAGGTCCAAATGGTTTTTCAAAATTGAAGAGAAATATTTGCTTTAGTTTTTGTTTTGTTTTTTTTGCTGAAATGTTTCAGAGACTAATGTCGCGTTAATTTTGATAGCATTTATTTTTTCATAGAAGAAGCGTATCTCGTCATCAGTCCCACCACAAAAGCCCTCTCGAGCTTCCTTGACCGTATGAAGACTGGTTCCAACCGATTTATGTTGCCGTAACGCTTTTTCGGTCGGACAATAGCGCAAGATCTTACACTAAGTGACCATTTTGAAATTACTCGAGATGAAAAATCACCTTTCATATTGTAATGTTCAGCTACTTAAAACCCTGTTACTGAGTAAGAACTCTATTCTATCCTGGTTGCTTTAGGCATATTCAATCATGCACTCGTAATGTCATACTTCTTTGAGGTCCTTTGGTAGAATTTGTGCCTGGTTTCTTTGTGGGCGTCGTGAAAGCTGAAGTTGTCGAAACGATCCCGTAAGATGAAGGAATTTTTACAGGCGCTTCTGTAAGGGAAATGATTAAGCTTCGCCTTAGATTGGGATTTATTCAAGCAAATTTGTGAAACTTAATCTCGCATTAGTGGTTATGAATTAAAAGAGGTTCCTCCTTTTCGACGAAGTCAGTAGCGTGATTCTGAAAAAATCAGCGAAGAAATAAATTGATGTTAGCGCGCCACGCAGAACTCTGGGAGTGACACGCACTAATAACCCTCACCTCAGAGTTCCACGTGATGGGTGACATCAATCTTTTATTCGCTGATTTTTTTTTTAGACTCACGCTACGGGCTTCGCCGAAAAGGAGGGACTGATCGTAGTCTATATTGGTTATTATCAAGAAAAAATATAAAATAAAAGTCCTTATTTCTCTCATTACTATCTAAAAATTAGCAACTTCATGAAAATTTGCTTATCATTTTAAGTGTGTAGAGGGGGTTTAAAAAGCTAAATGTTGTTCTCACCTATGTATCAATTAAATAGATGCATCAGCACCTCCCCAGGGTGGCAAAATTTTCCCCCAGGGGGTGTGGCGAACTTTCTCCCAGGGGGAGAAGGTGTGGCAAACAAGTGTCCTTGATCTGGAATTGATCTAAGCCTTGTTACTGTGTGGAATTATGGCTAGAAAAGGGTTATTTCAAAAGCTATTTGCTTCTTTTAAAGGTGGCTTAGAAGAAATTGAATAAAAAACATTTGCCTATGAATATCTTTCAGGGATGTGAGGAAAATGGCTAAAAGGGTTTCAGTAGAACATTTGAACACCGTTTTTACCCGAGATAGGAAACTTCAAGCAAAGGATGTGGCGGTCAGTTTGAACAATCGTTGTATTTGTTAGTTACCAGTCCTACCTGACCACACCAGCTTCGCCAACGCTGTTGGGACGATAGAAGGCTGACTTGCAATTTCGCATGATTTCTTACTGAAACATTTCACATTGAAGCATTGGCCATCTAACAGGTAAGCAAAGTCTCCGCGTTCCTTGTATTTACAAGCAAGTTTAGTGCAGTTATCAATGTCATTGACTTCGGCTAAAAATTTGAATCTCCCGACCCCGGCCATTTTTTCCTTGAAATTTGAGTTCAACTGGGGTTCTTCAGAGCTGCATTGTAGAGAACCTGTAAAGGAGAAGAAAACGATAATTTATCTTTGTAGAAAACATCACTCTTTATTGCAGATCTCTTTTACATTCTGGAAAAGGTGCTGCGCATGTTTTGTATGTTAAATGACTTCCGGTCTCTATAAAGTTAATCTTGACTATTCATTTTACTCCCAGGCATAACGGTGCTCTTTCCACCCCTCCCCTCCTGTTACCTCTGCTACTCTACGGCTTCCGGTTATAGAAGGACGCGAGCTTAAGCTTTTGTGCGGAGTCCAGCCAAATTGATAATCACAACAAATCCTGATATCTCGCGTTAGAATAGCTTTCATCAGCAAACGCTTCGCTTTTCTTTCACTATTTTGTTAATTATGGGTTTGAGAACATCAACACCAACTTCGTTCTCTTATTTTGGTTGTTTTGGCTGAACATTTGTTAATATAGAGTTGCGATCACGTGAATTGGCAGTCTATTAAGAAGGAACATGAAAAATGCAGGGCATTGATGAGCTCTTAAATCACGTTATTTGGCAGATATGAAATTCCACAAACAAGCTATCATTTACCATATTTCCCTTTACAATGGTAGCTCTAAAAGGAGAGTCATAAACCCAAAGACTTGTAAACAAACTCCAAATTATCATCGACACTGGTTTTCTGGTGAGAATTTTGTGGATTTTTTTCGCGCAAATTTTTCCCAGCTGACCAGCATTGGTCAACAGAATTGTAAATTGTTACCTCTTAGCGCTTAGCGGCTTTCTTTGTTATTGAAAATAGACTGAGCTTGTATTGCTGAATTGAGTTAGTTAAACACTCGCCCAATGTGATGATGTAATCATGCAAATCAAAACGAAGAGCGAGAGCTGTTTGGGTGAAAGAAATCATAATATATTTATTATGTCTTCTGAATAAGAACAGCTTAAAAATAAAAATGAAAAGGAAAACGTACTTTTTGGATGTTTCATCTATGTCTGGTGGAAACGGCGTGAAAACTGAATCTTCAGAGGAAATATTATATTTAAGAAATATTCAACCTTACCTGAAGAACCCTGCGTGTCGAGCGTCATCCATAACACGGTGAAAATGATATTCCGTAGTCCCATTTGCTTATAACGTCTCTTTCTTAAACAAATCCCAAATAAAAGATAATTTTCAAGGTTGCATTCCTGAAAGAAAAACAAAAGCGAATACATAGAATCTTTGCATTTGAGTTGAAATCAACAGCGAAATAATTTAGTCGCGTTTAAATTTCTCGTTTTAATTTTTTTTTGTTGTTGAATGTCCTCAGAAAGGCAATTATTATTTTGAGTAAGCAAGAGTCGCTAGCTCGTGTTTCTTGTCTAAAGAGTTATACAGTCACTTACTATTATTACTCTGGCGGCTTTGTCACCTGCTATTTGAATTATATTTTCAAAAATTAAACTAGATCTGGCGATCATGTTGTGGATTGTTTAAAAGGTAGTAAGGTAGTACTTACAAGAACAAAACGAATCATGAAGGTAGTGGATGATATAAAACAATCACGTCTGTGAGACTGTGCTTATAACTAATTGCTAATAAAATTCTACGGACATCTTATCTCTTCCTGGTAAACTATTTCAAATCTTACTTGTTGGTTTTCTGGGTTTAAACTAGTTTTTTTATCTACTAGCTTTTCTATTTACAGTCTGGTATTAAAATTGTGGGTAAAATTAAAGTTCTTTACAGCTTTTGTTTTTTGCAATTGCAAGAAAAATTTCTTGATACGAAAACGAGGCAAAAAGGCTGTCTCTTTTTTCTTCTACTTACCTTTAAGGCTGCTTCGTTCTAGTTGTTGTAGTTTAGATAAAATATTCACATCTGGAAGCTTGTATAGGAACGATTGTTAAATACCTGTAGCTCCCGTCGAGTGAAGAATTAATCATTAAACGGGAAAGTCGTTCCTGCCTATCAAAGCAGAAGAAGTTGACGACGGTCTCAGTACATTTAGTGATCTAAAATAAGTGTATACGATATGAAGCGTCCATTCAGTCATGCGAAATAAATTACCAAAGTAAAGCTAACATATCTTACTGGGTTTGTATTTATAACTTAAGTTATGGCTAACTTATTACACCGCAGTTTAAATGCTGTTTACTGATTGGTTCACAACTATCTACATAGAATAAGTATACTCTTTAAGCCTTACGTCAGAATAAGTTGTAACGTGAAACAGCTTCAATCCATGGAACAAGAATTTTTATCTCTTGTGTCAGTCAAGAAACTCTAGCAAGGATTATGTTACGCAAGAAAAATTGGTTTTGGCAAATCAGCGTGAAAGAATTTTTTTTTAATGTGTCCGGATGTGGTTAAAATATTTGTGTTTTGTCTTTTCACCACAGTACAAACTGAAGGCGGTCCACATAGCGAGTACACAACATTCAACACTTAAGTTTGATGTAGAAGTAGCCTCAGAACTAACGAGGTAGTCAAAAGAAGTGTAAGATTATCTTGACCTTAGATGCGATAAAAATGTTTGTTTTGTGCGTATAGTATGTGTTTTTGTCTGTTTGGGTATTGATTTTTGCTAGAATGTTTCGTCTCTTTGTAATTAGTACTCGACTCAAGATGTTGATTGCCGGTATGTGCCTAGGAAAATTACTTTAAAGTTAAGTGAATCGAATCTTTAATATTGAACTTAGGCGCAAAAATCAACAAGACATCGCTTTATTAGTTCTTCTGATCCGGAAACTTTTATCAGATCAGGATATGAAGTTTTCATTTTGTTCAAAAGGGAAGCTTATTCTTTCATTTGCCACTCTTTTAAGGTGATGATTTTGAATCTGTGTGTCTTAAATTCAGTGGATTTCATTTAATTAAGTTCTCTTACAAAATTAACTGTACTTTCAGTGTTAAGCATTCGTAATCCACCATGATAAAGCCAATCAAATGAAAAAATGACGCGAAGAATGAAATATAAGACAGGATATCAATTGTACCATCTCATTAGAATGTGTAGAAACTTCCTCAGTAATAACTATGCAAATTGATTAAATGCAAAGCAGTTTCCGGCAGGTGCGAGTCCTAATTTGAAGCTTTGAGGTCTTTGAGCAGCTTTCATTCAATAAATTGTTTATCGTCCCGGCGCTATATGACGCTATTTTATATGCACACGACGCAGTCAAATGGTTTTCATTCTGACAATAATTTGTCATTTTGAAAGCAAGGGATGTTGTTTGGTCCGCTACGTTCTGTCTGAACGTTCGTTTTCCTGATTGAGTTTACGTGTGGAAGACACTTGACTCGTCGCCAGCGGAGAACTGGAATAATCCGGCGAAAAGACGTATCTGTGACTCTGCCATGTTAAGACTTACCTAACTGCCGAACCGGACGAAAAGCGAAGAAGTTAATCTCACCCTGACTAAGCCCAGCATGGAGGGAGCTCAAACAAACTCTCAAGTTATTAATGCTGAAAGTTCACTCGCAACAACTCTTGCAAGACTGGCGAATGTTCGAGTGCAGGTTGAACTAATTCAAGAAGACACAAACAGTTTAAAGAAAGGATTTGCAGAAATCACTCAAAGGATAAACATCTTAAATGCAAGCTATCAAGAAGAAAGGGAAATCATTTTAAAGCGACGTACGAAAGCATAAAGATCGACCGGCAGTTCACTGTGAGATCTGCGATATGTCGGGATAAATATTCTAATTTATGGGTCAAATTAGTTCTCTAATGAACTGCACATCTTATTGAGGAAAAAAGAAAAAACCTCAACGCCATCTCAGACTCGTTTCCAGGAGAATCTAGGAGTGTTGTGATTTGGACATCAGTTGTAAATCAATTAAATATATGAATTATATATGAGAACAAAGTACAGCAAACTTCTTGTCTAAAGCTTTCTGAACAATCGCTGAAATCATTTTATCTGTTCGCCTATAGTTTATTCATCGTTTTTGATTATCAATTTTTTGTTCAATTTTTTGTGTCTTACAAATCACGAATTTATACATACTTGGCCTTCAATAACTGTGTAACATATTATAAATAAATAAACTAAAAAAAAGAACTGATAAGATATTTTTATCACATAGAAAATATAACGATGTTAATAACGCTTGGAGGACGCCAAAATAGTATTTTAATTTCATTGAAACCAATTAAAAGACAATTTATTATTCTATCTCAAGTAGTCTCTTTTTTTAATGTCTTTTGGCTTCTCGCTTAGGCCTGAGTTAGTGAAGCGCTATTCGCTGCCAAAGACGGATCATCTTAATTTGGAAGTTGGTCGGAAAATCATTGCACTTTGCAATTGCTCAACTAGCTACAGATCCACTACATGATGTTTATACCACATACTATTTTTTTAGAGCCGCTGAAAGAAAAGCGTGCATATTCAATTAGAAAGCAAAACCGCCATTTTTAAGCCACTGTATGAAAATTTTCACCTGGTCTTCCAGGTGTAGTTTGTAATGTAAACAATACGATATTATTGCATGTCATTCCGCAAGGAAAGCTGCATAAGTCCTAAAAGTTTAGAACATAAAAAGATAAATTAATTGCTTTTCACATGCAGCCTGGATGCTTCGAGTGTTTTAACACGCTGTGCATGGGGCTGAGGAAGTCAAAGCCTCGTCGTTTCCAAGGATATGACGGTGTGTCATCGAGTGGAGCGGAAAGCAAGACAGTTCAGTCAGTAGTGGAGCATGGCTCAATTCACGGGGATGCTGTCACTTGTATCGATGCATACGCTCCAGGAACCTCTCTGACCGGGGGTAAAGACAACGTGAGTACATTTGTGACATTTTCCGGAGTTCAAAACATTAATTAATTAGGTCAAGCTCAACAATCACTGCAGACTACTAACATACAATAACTCGTTGGACAAACACCACGTGTACTCTGTCCCATTGCTATGGCAAACGCGTCTTTCACTCTTATTAACTTCCTGTAATCTGAAACCTTCCTAACATGTACTACCAATTTACAGCCTTCTTACTTATGGACAAAACGTTTTTAAAGGGAAGTGAACCTCAAAAACTTCCAGGATTCTCATCAGAGGGCAGGGTACAGGCATCTCTACAGCCTCCTAAGCAATAATCTTTACAACTGAACTAAAACTCTGTGTGTGCATTATTCATTGAACAGTCAGTTGTTTTATTTAACTGGAAACAAGGTGTTACTCTTCGTCAATGGACTGGTCACTCAAGAGACGTCACTAAAGTAAGTATTTATGCTGTTTTTTCATTGTCATGCATGATATTGACTCTCCTGTTTCAAACTCATTTTCTGGTATCCTTTTGGCAAAGTATGGTAGAAGAAGCATGTGCAGGTTTTTTCCTTTCTTATCATACATACATTTCACACAACAGAATCACCTTTCCACACACAAGACCTCATCAACTTCCCCCATACTCTGCAGACAACATAGCTGTCAAGCGTAGGGTTAATGCACAAGGAGATCAGTTTTGGACAACTGTGCCAATTTCCCCCCACAAAATATCAAAGGAAAACATAACAAACATCCTGTTTATTTACCATTTTGTTTTGACCTTTTACCAAAAAGTTATACTCTTCCAAAATTCTGTGACCTACTGGCTGGCATGGTTAGTTGTAATATTTGTGAGACAACTTGGTTTAGACAGCTGGAAAACATACCACCTAGTCATTACAGAGTTTGCACATGGATAGACTTTTGACTGCTGTGTTTCTGCAGACTGCTATGGTATTAACATATAGAAAAACTTTGGAAAATAGAATTTGATCCTGACATTTAGACTTAAAGCCTTGAGTTTTGGCCTCTGGGTTTCTCAACAGGTAAAACATGTAGGAGAAACTATTTTCAGTTCCTCAAGAGACAAGACAATTAAGGTTTGGCAGGCCAGTAAAGCAGGAAATGAACCCATTTCAACCTTTGAGGGTCACAGACTGGTGGTGACAGCTATTGATCTTAATGAAGGTAATGCAGAAGAACACAATTTTTGTTTATTTGTTGAAAAATATTATGAGTTAAACAATTTGGTCATCTAGTGCTCTTAATTTTCTTTCACCTTCCAAGAGGGGAAGTCATTTTTCAGAGTAAAATAAGTGACACAAAATAAATTAATTGATAGCTGAAGTGAGTTTGACATTTTATCTCGCAGTAATTCCAGTAAAGGTGGAAGTTGAACCAAATGTTTCTCACAAATACACACCTATGGAAGTATTTTCACTCTCTTGTTGTTAAGCTGTATTACTTAAAAGAATAGTGGGCAGCGAGTGAACTTGGACAGTTAGTTTACAAGGTTTTGCCAACTGCTGCTGTCAGTCATTGGTCCTTGTACATCAACTGATTAACTTGACCCTGAACAACTTGTTCTTTCCTCAAAAGGGCTGTAAATCTAATTTGTAGTTACCTTATTATAATAAAGTGCTGGTGACAATGAGGTACAGGTAATGCCTCTTCTTTTTTGGTACTGTTGTAGATGGAACTTTGTTATTTTCTGGGTCACGAGACAACTGTGTAAGACTGTGGGACACTACAAAGAACACAAGTATCAGTGAAAAAGAAGTATCCAGAAATCTGGTAAGTTTTAATGCTGAATTTATTGACAGTCTTGATTAAGACTGCCTTTAGTCAGTCTGATGGTCATTTTGTGATGGTCATTTTTTGATGTTGCTATATTTAGTTCCAAAAAAAGAGGTGCAGTACAACATAGAAGTACACTTGCTGTATAATTGATAATTAACTGCTAATGAATGTATAAATTAATACTCTCTACTCATTTGTTTGTAGGTAAGTTGTGTGAAATGGGTACCTGGAACACAGACTCAAGTTGCTCAAACTGGAGAAGACAAAATGGTGAGGTAAAGAATGGCAGATGGTCTTTTTTATCTTATCTGATGGTGATATCATACACTGGTTGGTGGGAGCAACATGTCATGTGAATATCCTACCATCCTTTTTGAGACTAACAGAACAAATAAACTATGAGAAAGCAAGCAGCTGTTAAGTAGGTATCCAAAGAGAAGATGTTGCAGTCTCATAGAATTGAGGAGCAGTGCATGACATTCCTATAGCTGATAGTTAGTTAAAGTACATCTAACCAGCCATTTTATATGTGTCTACTTTCATCACTCTTCCTGTCCCTTGTCTCTCTTTTATTTGCATCTTTTTTCAATTTCTGCACATACTTTGTGTGCTACTAACTAAATTCAGCTTACTGAATTTTCTTAGTTGTAAGAAAGCCTTCCTTAGGGAATAACCCGGCAACATTAGACATGTTTCAATTTATTGGTATCTAGTGTCCCTGCAAGAGTTGTTTACTTTAATTGTAATATATTGGCACAACAATCTTTTCTATATCAATATATTATGTATTTTTTGCATCAGAATTTGGGATACAAGGAACATGCAACCTTCATTCACATTTCCTGCTCAGCAGTATTTTCAGGTATTCACTACTTTGGAAAATATAATTTTGACATGTTGTTTTTCACTCAATAACACCTGCTTTTGATTTTGACTTGTGGTATAAAACTAAAAAATTTGTCAAATGAAAAAAATCTTTACCCGTTAAGTAAAATTTGGATTATTAATGTCAAGTAAAATACGTCTTTGTGCCTCCTCTGTCATGTTAATACCTTCAGAGATTCCTTCAAGGCTATAAATGTCAGATTGTAGTAATTAATTACCAGTAAATCATTTTTGTTTTGAAGACCTGCTGTGATTGTTCAAGAAATGGGCAGTTTATTTTGACATGTAGTAATGGTTTCAATGGAAAAGGCTGTGAAGCTACAGTGAGTTATGTTTTTTAACATACTTTTTTTTACTAATTTCTCTTTTCTCCTTCTTCCCATGTTTGATGTTCTGAAAATATTCATATGGTGCTACAAACTGCATTACAAGTTGAAAGTTGCTTTTGATATATGACTGGCCTTGTCAGAAAGCAAGATGAAATTAACCTTTGTTCTTATTTGCCAAACAGGCAGATAAAGGCCAATGTTGCATGCTTTGTTCCTACAAAACAACAGCATTAAGTCTGACCCCTAAGAGTGACTAGCATCAAATTTCTCCACACAATATCACCTATGAATCAACAACCAAGGTTACTAAAGTACTGTAAAGAAAATGATCACCAACTAAACAAGCTCTTGATTGTTAGGTAAATTCTCCTTGTCAGCACCTTAGGAAATGTACATAGAATGGTGTGGAGAATATGCATACTGGTGTTAGAGTGTAAAGGGTTGAAATGCAAAAAAAAAAAACAAAAAAAATAAGCCAAATCTCAATGTCTTGACATCAAACCTTTGTTAATAATGCATCTGTCGCACAGGAAGTCTCACCTTTGCAGGTTGTGCTCTGTAATGTGATGCCTGTTGTCAAATATCACATGTTCACCAAATGCAATGGGCTTTTTCCTTTTTTAGACTGTAAATTACAACCTACACTTCAAGTCTCCTTTTGCAGACACCTTTTGTTGATTAAAACTCTTTGAAGCCAGCCCAGTGAAATTATGTTAAAAATGAAATTTGCTAACAAGTTTTTTTGATCAACAGCTCTGGGATGTGAGGGAACAGAAAATGATGTGTAGATACATTGGCCATCAGCAGACTACATCAGCATGTGTTTTTCTTCCTCATCTGGAACATGTTTGGTCGAAAGATCTGTAAGTAGTTAGTTTCTATGGTAGCAATCATTTATGCTTGTCACACAATGCAGTCTCTCTTCAGAAGAGGGAGAAAATTGTGTGCCTGGATATTTAAGTGACTTCATGTCATATTTAAAATAGAATTAAACTTAATGCTGATTTGTTGTTGTTTGCTAGAATTGCTACTGCCTCGCATGATTCCACTGTGAAAATTTGGGAGAGAGACAGCACAGGTAAAACAAGATTCCAATGTATTGTTAAGGGTAGCTTATTGGAGAGAGTGACCCTTTTAAAATTGTGGCTTGTAACCCTTCTTATTTATTATATGAATCAACATTACAAATTTGGCATTAACTTTTTTTTCTTAATGTGGTTCCTCTCAGATCTGCAAGGCATTTAAACCCAACTAAATAAATTTAAAAAATAATTACTTTTACCATAAATTTAGGACTTTCACTAACTCATGAAGCTCTTTTGAGTATGTGAAATATTGAAAGAATAATGGTTAGTGTTGAAAGGAATTGTTTGTTTTAAAAATTAACAGAATGCCTCACAACTCTTGATTTTTCTGGAGCTGGTCCCCTGACTGATCTTTGTGTGTGGGATGATGGAAGGTGAGAATTTCATTGATTATTAGTTATTTATGATAGATTGTTCAATTATATTTCTACAAAGTGTAATCAATTTTGCCATCTTGACTACTTTAAGTTTTGATCACAAACTAGTCAGAATGGCCTCAGAAAAAATTTTAATAGGTGGGATAGTGAACAGTTCTAAACAGTATTTGTCCACTATTTCACTAACACAATTTAAACTCTCAGTTCTTAGCAAACTTATCTTTCAAATTACGGATGAAAAAATTTTACTCTCTGCTACTTCATGTGCATTTATCTTATAATCTTAAAAACATCAACTTATGTAAAATGTACACTGAACAATCTCTCCCCCCCCGCCCCTTATAAACAGTAGTTATTTGACACTCTAGTAATCCTGTTTTACTTTAAAGGTAACGTATGGTAAACAAGTGTTAAAACTGATGTTCCTTGTGCTCTTGACTTACAGTTTATGTGTTTCTACAACAAACATGGGTGTGTACCTGTGCATCTTGGCGTCCCGTGAGGGCAAACCTGAGCTCACCAAGAAATGCCAGTTTTAGGCTTTTAAAGCCTGCTCTAATTATTTTTTTCTTCTAGAGACAAAAAGAAGTAAAATGAAAATTTTTAATTCAGATCTCTGGTATTTATTTACTTTTGTATTATTTATAAGTTGGGTTTTTCAACACTCTGTAATTAGAAATGCAAGTTGCTTCTGTAAGTAGAATGTACTAGTTACATTTCCTTTAGAATTGAACCATCTTGATTGATAGATCCAATAGTTGCATAAATTAGACATCTTACAGAGGTGTGTATGGTAGAACAAAAGCTTCTTTGAATATAAATGGGCATAAAGCATTAAAAATAACGCATCTTAAAAGGCTGCATGAGTGATAATTTGTCTTTGATAGATCTGATAGTTGCATAAATTAGACATGTTACAGAGGTGTGTTTGGCAGAACAAAAGCTTCTTTGAATATACATGGGCATATAGCATTAAAAATAATTCATCTTAAAAGGCTGCATGAATGATAATTTGTCTTTGGCATTGATGTTGTCGCATTTGACAAGCCTTGTCAATAACAAAACCTCATTTTAAAATACACAACATGCCTTGATCCCCAAGAATCGAGTTATGAAGTTTACATCAAGCAGGTGCAAATCTTTTTGCACTTTTGTCATGTTTCATGTGAAAGAAATTATAGCTAGGTGAGACTTAAGGTCTCAGAGCCATTTTCCCAGGACACTGATCTTTTACGCCATCTGTCGCGTGATCTCGTGAAGTGGCGTGACAAAATATCTCGCGAGCCCACCATACGTCAGCAGTGTACGTGTTTTGAAAAAAATCAAGATGGCGGAGTACTTTGACGAAGTTGTGCTTGATGCGGAGGACTTGGAAAAACTCTTTGAAGCTGCAACAGAATTTGTTCGAACTATAAAGAATTTAAGCGATGAGAAAAAATTGACTTTTTATGCTCTTTACAAACAGGTGTGTATTATATCTATACGTAATTTCCGTTAACTGCACAGTTCTTTAAAATACTCACCGCACTAAATCACTAATTAAATAGATCATTTATCTGTTTAGAGACAAATTTGAGATGTGAACATTTTCTTTCAAGCTGTAAGCCTTATCGAAACATGTGGATTCATCTTACATGACTCGTTCTTGGAAGCTAGCCTGTAGTGGCCTTATATTCTGCTGTTACGATGGAGTTATAATGGTAACTATTAAAGCCAAAAAACATGGAGCCTTACACAAGCAACACTGAACAAGATATAAGGAGAGAAAAGAGGAAAATAGAGGAAGGATATCAGTTCCAATAAATGCAAAATTAACTGATGGAGACAATGATTACAAGAGGTTAAGTTTGTTTGGGTTTTACATACTGTGGAAATTCAAATCCTATTTTTTTCCGGTTTCTTTTTTTGTCTCAGGCTAAAGAAGGACCATGCAATACATCAAGACCAGGGTTTTGGGATATGATAGGAAAAGCCAAGTGGTAATCCTAATTTCCTCCTTTTTTTCGTAAATGTTTCCCAGACATGCCCTGTTTGCTTTGACTTAGTGAAGTGTAACCCTAGAAAAACATGTTGGGAAGTGGCACTTTTCAAACCCAGGAGCAATCTGGCCATCTTCAGATATTTCTCTTACACAGCAAAATAATCATGTTAAGAATAAGATTTCATAAAAGACAGGTTTGCTTATTACCTGGATGACCCTATAATTGCAGATTTGGTCTAAAACAATTTTAGATTCCAAAGGTACCAGTATCACTTACAGTTGCAAGTGAAGGAATTGACCAAGGTGCCATCATTCCCTTCTAGTTGATTGTAATCACATGCAGTGAGGATAAATTCCTTGCATATTTTTTGTTTCAAACCTGCTCAGAAACTTAACATATTTTGCCAACCAAAAATTGCCTCAAAGTTTTTATGGAGATTTGAAGGCAAAGTAACCATTGATAATGGATTATGTCTTCTATCATTAAAGGGACTCTTGGAAAAAACTTGGAGACATGTCAAAGCAAGAAGCACTAGAACGTTATATACAGGAACTTTTTGAAACAGACCCTGAATGGGAAGCAAAATATGCTGTCACTGATGACTTGGTAGGCTACAAATGAATCTTAGGTCAATGAAGTTTAATCACCTGTCTGTCACCAATTCAAGAATTTCAGTCTTGTGACCACCAGTCATGAGACTGAAATTCTTTTTTCGGAATTTTTCATGTAGACCCCAAAGGAAACTGAAAAACCAGTTCACAAACAGACAATGGGTCTTGCTGTTAGCACACTCAGAGGAAATGAGGATGATGTCATTAGGTCTGTATTTAAGTATGATATGTGTTTTATAACATGGAACATTTATTTATTTGAGATATTTTCTGGGATATTTGCCTACACTAACCACAAACAGCGCCAATAATATCATGGCAAAACTGACCTTTTGGTTTTCATGGGTCAGCATTGTAACACTCAACTGACTGACAACTCTTCCAGATCACATTGAGGAAACAGCAGTTCCTTCTGGTCTGCTATCATACAGACAATCAGACCACACCAACAACCCTTTATTCCCTAAGAGTGACTAGCTTCTAATTTCCTCCTACAGTATCATATAAATGACATGAGAATAAAGGAAATGATTACCAATTGTGCAAGCACAAGCTCGTGATTGCCAAACAAATTCTCCATATTAGTACCATAAAAAATGTTGTGAGAATATCAGTGTCAGGATGGTAGGCAAACATTAGGGTGTTAAGAGTTAACTGTATTTGAACCATTTACTTTAAATTATGATTACAACAAGGTTGAATTATTTTTATTCCCAAGCATGATATTCATGCTCATGCATGCATGCATTGATTTTAGTCTGACCAGATGAGATTTTTGATTGAAAATGTTATTCTTGAAATGGTAGTGATGCTAACAAGTCAGTGTTTGATTGGTGCAAGGAGGGTAACGTTAAAAGGATGGATGTTCTTCTGAACAAAGGGGAGAACATTAACACAAAGGATGAGCAGGTAAGCAATTTTGACTGTTTCAAAATATAATTTCTGAGCTGCAAACTCAGTTGGCTCCTTTTTTTCTCTCTGTTCAGAAATATAATATGGGTAGCAACTTACAGGAGTTAAAAATATGCATTCTGGTTGTGCAGATCACACCTGCCAATGATTAGGGCAAATATCAGCATTTTTCAGTGGAATTTGGCTTGTGACATGGTTGAAACGTATGGTTTTTTCCCAGTGTATGTAATGCAAGAGACCGGGCATTCTTAAGAGATTATGTTTACTGTGGTATATGGATAATATGCTTTCTCCTAGGGTATGACTTTACTCCACTGGGCCTGTGACAGAGGCCATGAGGAGGTTGTAACATATCTAATAAAAAACAAGGCTGAGGTTAATATACAGGTAGGCACTTAATGCTATTCTCTGGTTTTTAAGAATAAAACTATTTTAACCAAGCCAAGCATGCATGGGTGAATCCTAAATATCCTAAATATGATATAATTACTTTTTTAGGATGCTGATGGTCAGACACCTCTACACTATGGTAAATAACTTTAACTTTTTTTTTTTGGGGGGAAAATATCAATTGAACAGCAAGCAAGAAAAAAAGGGACACAAAGATCACAAAGCTGTGTTTATTGAGTAAGGTTTCTGACATATGGCTATCACTTGAAAGGTGAGCTTTAGAAGCTCTTCAGTGCCCAAATTACATTGTCAACTCAGTTAATAAAACAAAGTGTACCTTAAATAGCTCTATTCAGATCAAAATGAGGACTTAGAAGAAGACAAAATAATCTTTATATGGAAAAGCTAATTTTAGTCTTAGCATTTTTAAGTGTTGAAGAGTTGTCTTTGTTCCAAATTGCAGCTGCCACCTGTGATTTTCTGTCAATAGTAAAAGAACTCTTACAATGTGGAGGAGATTCTACAATTATCGACAGTGATGGCTGTCGCCCAGCTGATGTTGCAGAAAATTCAGAATTAAAAGAACTTCTGAATATTTAAAAAATGCAAGTTTTTAACTGCAGTTTAAAAAAATATTTGAATGTTTTGCTTCTAAAGCTGGGAATATATTTATCGAGTCAAACTAATGGCTTGAAATGCATTGAAAAAAACATTTTCAAAATTATTTTTACTACAAAAATGTTAAGTATATATATGTGATATCATGATAATTCCAACATGAAGCAAGGTGAAAGAGTATCATATCTTTGGCATTACTTACATGATTTTGCTATTATTTATATTTATTTTGAAGGTTCAGAAACATGAAGCAATGTGTTTGTTATTAATAAATATCTTCTGAAAATTTTCAGAAACAAGAGAAATTGGAATTTTTGAGGCTCAACCTTCTATGAATTTATTGGAAAAATAGCCTCTAATGCAATGAAATAAATATTCAAACAGAATCTAGAATTGTACACTCCCCTTAATGGTTACTCCTAGTTCAACACTTACACTTACTTTCCTGGGCCAAATTGTTGGAAGACTAATTAGCACTAATCCAAGGCTGAAATTTAATGTGGGTCTTACAAGCCTTTTCAGGATAATTTTATTGATTCTTTTTAGAGTATCCAATAATCAAATTATAGACAAAATTACTTATAATTGATCTTGTTTTAAGCTTTTAGATCTGAAATCAGATTTCACACTAACCCTGGGTTATCTTAACTCAGCTTTGAACAACCTGGCCCTGGATGTCACAGGGATCAACTAGAATTGCTAATGAATGTCTAGTTCTCTTATTTTACAATATGACACAGCCTTATTTCCTCAAAAATGCAATTATTATGTAACTCAATGAGTATCATGTTTAAAATAATTATTATAACCTACTAGAACCCTAAAATACTAGTGATGCAATGTCGCTTTGTGTTCATTGCATTTCTCGATAAAATTACTGCAAAAGCTAACAATTTTAATTGAATTAATTGATGCCTTAAAGTAGTGCTGCATACTGTCACTCAACTCCTGATCCAGTGTTCTCCCTTACTTTAAGAACAACATGTAAAAGAAATTTTCAGACTGGTAGAGCAAAACTTTCGCCTTAATTTAAAGAATTTCAAGTGATTTTAGGCAGTAATAAGAGGCACTATGTACCAACTTAATAACCTTATGAAGTCTTGTGGCATCAACATTTTTCCATGTAGTTAAGTCAGAGGTCATAAATTTTAATGACGTTGTTGATTTTACTAACCATGTTAGTTCTTGGCATGTTAAGTCATTACTATTAATGATGTTTTTAAATTTGTTTACAATGTCATTTATTTTGATTTAAATTTGCTTGTGACGTTGTTAATGTTAAGACAAAAAAAAAGGATGTGATAATAATACAGTTAAGAAAGAGTGTTAAACAGCAATTATGGCCTGAAAAGGAGAACACGGTGATCAGTTGTTTTCATTCAGCCAGTCCAATAGTTGTGGAACAAAATATGTTATGATGATGTCAGCACCTGAAAAACCACATAAGACAAGTTAACTTTCATTTAGAAGGTTACTAGAGAACAATTAATTGATCATAATTTTGATTTCTTGGAAATAACTTTATTCGTGGGAATTAGTTTGTAATTACTACTAAACAGTATCCTTGTGTGAGATCTAAACCATGAGCTACACCTGCCTGTTACTACAGCTAACTGAGGTTAACAACAGTAAGGTAATGAACAAAACATTAACCAACAATTAAGGATCCATCAAAATCAAAATCTGTTTATTTCTTGGCTAATCAGCTTCCATGTCTTTGGAAGAGAAGGGCTCACAGAAGTCATGTGTATAAAACAATGAAAATTGAAGAAAATATCAGTACTGGCATCCAAAAGTATAATAATATAATAAGAATTTTTTCTTAATAATACAAAATTATTATTACCTGCCCTTCTCATAGAGGTTAAGCATTCTAGAACAATTTTCTTTAAGTCAAATGCTCCTGCCTTACTTCCATGATACAACATTGCAAATTCCCCTGACACCTTAGGAAAGAGGAATGAACTGATTTGTGAGACTTGACAACAAAAGGGACTTTCTTGCAACAGCAGTAATAGAAATTATATTTTTGGTTTTCTTGATGTTGATCTTCATGTCTGTTCCCCTCCTTTCGACTCAGATTCAGGTGGTCTGTGAGAATTAACTTGTGAACTAACATGGTTCTAACTGATGTGTCCTTAAATAAAAGGTTTAATTGAATTTGAGTAAAATTCAAAGAAGTGTTTTGATACAAACCTGGTAAATTGCCAGTGGCAAATCAGGGAACTAGTGAAATAAATAAAAAGTCTCAAAAAGTGTTAATGACAATTAATTTAAAATTATCATAGTGATGACTTCATGTTAATTAATTTTATAGTGAAAAACTGTGACTTTGTAAATTGCTACAATTATACAAATATGTTCAGTTTGATAAACCCATTGCTGAAGGTAATTGGTATGATCCCTGTATTGAACTATTATGTGCGTGTCTTATGGTTGTCCATTGAAAACATTCTTCTTATCTAAAATATCCATTCTGCCTGACTTTTATATCTGGTCTGAGTAAATAACTCTGAAAATTCATCATTTTCCAATTAACAGGGAAAGTTAACAAAGTAAACCATGTTATATGGCATGGAAGAGAGTTGAGTCTTTTGAGATACTAGCAGACCTGTTGGTTGCTAGTCTCTCATTGACAGCTCTTTTATGATAATTTCAGAAGTTGTCCAAGCATTTTCAGAAACCTGGCTCAATTATGGAGGGGACATACTTGACAAAATTCTCTAAGCTAATGAGCATGGAATGATATGTACATTTTCTATCAAAAATGCTAAGTCTTGTGAGTAAAAGTCACTAAAAGTAAACAATCCATTGTGTACCTTATCCTTAGTTTGCCTCACAATATCAAGGTAAGCCATCCCAGGTTTGACCATAAGAAAATCTGCTCCTTCCCTGACATCCCTTTCCTGGTAATTGGTTAGAAGGAAAAATTTACAAGAAACACTTTTATCTTGGATTTACTGGTAAGGTTTTATTGCAGACCAAGTGGTCCAGGCTTTCAGACCTTCTCCCAATTACCATACCCCCTGCCCCCCCCCCCCCCCCCCCCCCCCAACAAAAATTGTTGTTAGTTTTCCTAGCAAACAGTTCCCCAATACCCATTCACACCCTTTGGTTTGAGAAGTTCCCTGCCCAAGAGCTCTAGACAATGACTCCTGCTGAGCTTTGAGGTCAGATCCCCAGATGTCAATAATGAGGCCAGAATGCCTCACACCTCTGGAAAAAGAAGCAAACTTTAAAATAATGCTTTCCCTTTTAACTCCCTTATATTATTACCATTTAACCAACAAACAGGTGATGAAACTATACAAACTCATCAGCAAGAGGCTTTTACCTGCTGAAGCACCAAATTCTTGGGGCTTATCAAGCGAATTTCAATTTTGTCCAAGCAAAGGGGCTGATAAAAGGCTAATGCTCAACATAACAGCTTGAGAATCTCATGGCAATGGCCAAATCACCTTATTGACTCAGTTGATAAACCCAAATTGCTTAAAATAAAGCCACCTACAACAAGCAAAGAATGCTAAAAACCAAATCTTACCACAGCTCTGGCAGCAAGACCTTTAGATCCTGATGGCAACTGATAACATCTTCTATCACCAAAGGCTGGTGCACTTTTTGCTGCATCTCTATAAAAGAAATGCAAACAAACTACAACAATATGCAATACGAAAGTGATATGACAGCTGTAGTATATTTAATAAATAGATTCCAAGTTGCTGTGCGTCTGTTCAGTAATAGATGACAGAGGACGTCAAAATGTGGTAAGTACAAAAAAGTGGCACATGAGGCACAGCTGAGTGTGTCACTGACGTTCTTACCACATTTTGACGTCCTCTGTGATCTATTACTGAACAGACGCATGGCAACTTGGAATCTACTTGTTTTATATAATAAAGAATTAAAAAAAGTTTTGATGATGACGTCATCTATATGTCTGTCCTCCAATAGATCATAAGTGAGAACCAATCAGAATGCGTGCATAACTGAGGTTATTATATAAATAAATTTAAATACAGCAAGGTATGGAAATCACTGGATGGTTTGATTATTAGTAGCAAGAGGTGTCTTTTATAACTCACAGATTACCTGAATGGACCATAAAAACTAGAGGCAAACTTTGCACTGTAGCTCATAACTGCAACCTAATGGAGATATTATTACATTAGAACACATGTGGCAAGAATAAATCTTGAAATATTTATTAATGCTGTATCAATGAGCTACCTTAAACACAAATTATAGGCATTGTGTATTACAATTATATCAATACCTTTCCTCCATAACCATTCTTGTGTAATATATCTTTAATAGCTGCTATTCTATTGTCCATCATGTCTGAAGGGGCTACAACATGACAACCTAGAAGAGAATTCATGGGTGAGCTATACACAATTGTGGGTAAATAACAACTGACAACTACTGGATATGCGCTTGATCCTCTGAATGAACATAGCTTGCTCAGCAACAGTTTTTTTTTTCACTGCTAAATTTACAGATAACCCACAAGCTATTGGACAGAAATTATGATTATCACAAAAGAGTAGGGAACTAAGGTGGCTTACAGGTTATTGAGCTGCTCTCTGGATTGAGAGGTATGGGTACCAGCCCCAGCTGCACCATTTTATTGAGTTCTTCCGCAAAAATAGTTGGTCTCTATGTGTTTCTCTCCACCCATGATTACACATGAATACAAACAAATGGTGAGGGAAATCAGAGGAAATGCTGAAGGCAACCCTGTTAAGCTTTAGTGCATCCCATCTGTAGAGGTGCAGCTACAATAATCCAAGTTGCCTTAAAATCTACTGAAAGCGGAAAAAGCTTTGGCAGGATGGTCTCTTGACTTATTAGCTGACTTCACTTTTTTATCACTGATGGACAAAGAAACAATTTTAAAAGGCTACTCAGATTCCTCTTCTATATGGGATGTTAGTCCATCAGGTAGTAACATAAATTGGTCCCTGTTAAGAGTTTCAAAGCTGACATTTCTCCATTTGCT